GGTCATGGTTGATATAATCGTGGTCGTGGTTGTTATAATCATGGTCGTGATTGTTATAATCCTATTCGTAGTTGTTATAATCATGGTCGTGGTTCTTATATTCATGGTCGTGGTTGTTATAATCATAGTCGTGGTCGTTATAATCATGGTCATGGTTGATATAATCGTGTTTGTGGTTGTTATAATTATAGTCGTCGTTATGATCATATTCGTGGTTGTTATAATCATAGTCGTGGTTGTTATAATCAAGGTCGTGAGTGTTGTAATCATGGTCGTGGTTGTTAAAATCATGGTCGTTGTTGTTAAAATCATGGTCGTGGTTGTTATAATCATGGTCGTGGTTGTTATAATTATGGTCGTGGTTGTTATAATTATGTTCGTCGTTATGATCATAGTCGTGGTTGTTATAATCATAGTCGTGGTTGTTATAATCAAGGTCGTGAGTGTTATAATCATGGTCGTGGTTGTTAAAATCATGGTCGTTGTTGTTAAAATCATGGTCGTGGTTGTTATAATCATAGTCGTGGTTGTTATAATCATGGTCGTCGTTGTTATAATAATGGTCGTGGTTGTTATAATTATGGTCGTCGTTATGATCATAGTCGTGGTTTGTTATAATCATGGTCGTGGTTGTTATAATTATGGTCGTCGTTATGATCATAGTCGTGGTTGTTATAATCATAGTCGTGGTTGTTATAATCAAGGTCGTGAGTGTTATAATCATGGTCGTGGTTGTTAAAATCATGGTCGTTGTTGTTAAAATCATGGTCGTGGTTGTTATAATCATGGTCGTGGTTGTTATAATTATAGTCGTGGTTGTTACAATCATGGTCGTGGTTGATATAATCGTGGTCGTGGTTGTTATAATCATGGTCATGATTGTTATAATCATATTCGTACTTATGATCATAGTCGTGGTTGTTATAATCATGGTCGTGGTTGTTATAATCATGGTCGTGAGTGTTATAATCATGGTTGTGGTTGTTATAGTCATAGTCGTGATTGTTATAATAAAGTCGTGGTTGTTATATTCATGGTCGTGCTTGCTATATTCATGGTCGTGCTTTTTATAATCATAGTCGTGGTTGTTATAATCATGGTCGTGGTAGTTATAATCATAGTCGTGGGTGTTATAATCATGGTCGTGGTTGTTATAATCATGGTTGTGGTTGTTATATTCATGGTCGTGGTTGTTATAATCATGGTCGTGGTTGTTATAATCATGGTTGTGGTTGATATAGTCATGGTCGATGTTGCTATAATCATAGTCGTGGTTGTTATAATCATAGTCGTGGGTGTTATAATCATGGTCGTGAGTGTTATAATCATGGTTGTGGTTGTTATAGTCATAGTCGTGGTTGTTATAAGCATTTTCGTGGTTGTTATATTCATGGTCGTGTTTGCTATATTCATGGTCGTGCTTGTTATAATCATAGTCGTGGTTGTTATAATCATGGTCGTGGTTGTTATAATCATAGTCGTGGTTGTTATAATCATGGTCGTGGTTGCTTTAATCATGGGTGTGGTTGTTATAATCATGGTCGTGGTTGTTATAATCATATTCGTGGTTGTTATGATCATGGTCATGGTTGATATACTCGTGGTCGTGGTTTTTATAATCATGGACGTGATTGTTACAATCATATTCGTAGTTGTTATAATCATGGTCGTGGTTGTTATATCCATGGTCGTGGTTGTTATAATCATAGTCGTGGTTGTTATAATCATGGTCATGGTTGATATAATCGTGGTCGTGGTTGTTATAATTATAGTCATGGTTGTTATAATCATGGTCGTGGTTGTTAAAATCATGGTCGTTGCTGTTATAATCATGGTCGTGGTTGTTAAAATCATGGTCGTGGTTTGTATAATCATGGTCGTGGTTGTTTTAATCAGGGTCGTCGTTGTTATAATCATGATCGTGGTTGTTATATTCATGGTCGTGAATGTTATAATCATGGTCGTGCTGGTTAAAATCATGGTTGTTGTTGTTATAATCATGGTCGTGGTTGTTATAATCATGGTCGTGGTTTGTATAATCATGGTCGTGGTTGTATTAATCAGGGTCGTCGTTGTTATAATCATGGTCGTGGTTGTTATAGTCATGGTCGATGTTGCTATAATCATAGTCGTGGTTGTTATAATCATAGTCGTGGTTGTTATAATCATGGTCGTGAGTGTTATAATCATGGTTGTGGTTGTTATAGTCATAGTCGTGGTTGTTATAAGCATTGTCGTGGTTGTTATATTCATGGTCGTGGTAGTTATAATCATAATCGTGGTTGTTATAATCATGATCGTGGTTGTTATAATCATGGTTGTGGTTGTTATATTCATGGTCGTGGTTGTTATAATCATGGTCGTGGTTGTTATAATCATGGTCGTGGTTGTTATAGTCATGGTCGATGTTGCTATAATCATAGTCGTGGTTGTTATAATCATAGTCGTGGTTGTTATCATCATGGTCGTGAGTGTTATAATCATGGTTGTGGTTGTTATAGTCATAGTCGTGGTTGTTATAAGCATTGTCGTGGTTGTTATATTCATGGTCGTGCTTGCTATATTCATGGTCGTGCTTGTTATAATCATAGTCGTGGTTGTTATAATCATGGTCGTGGTTGCTTTAATCATGGGTGTGGTTGTTATAATCATGGTCGTGGATGTTATTATCATATTCATGGTTGTTATAATCATGGTCATGGTTGATATAATCGTGGTCGTGGTTGTTATAATCATGGTCGTGATTGTTATAATCCTATTCGTAGTTGTTATAATCATGGTCGTGGTTCTTATATTCATGGTCGTGGTTGTTATAATCATAGTCGTGGTCGTTATAATCATGGTCATGGTTGATATAATCGTGTTTGTGGTTGTTATAATTATAGTCGTCGTTATGATCATATTCGTGGTTGTTATAATCATAGTCGTGGTTGTTATAATCAAGGTCGTGAGTGTTGTAATCATGGTCGTGGTTGTTAAAATCATGGTCGTTGTTGTTAAAATCATGGTCGTGGTTGTTATAATCATGGTCGTGGTTGTTATAATTA